GTTTCTGGAGTCTCAAAGGGTGGAACTATAACCTTCTAGGTCTCAAAGGGTGGAGACACAGCCTCCTTGGGTTCAAGAAGTCAGATCTTCACCAATTCAGTTCTGCAGTGTTCATGAGTTCCAGGGGGATGGAGCCAGACGCCCAACCCAAAGCTGAGGGGACAAGGCTGCCATGACGAATGGGGACTGCTGGGGCTGAAGAGGTGAAGTCCCCACCTGGTTGGACTAGGAGAATGGGGCTGCCCAAAGCTGAGGGAACAGAGTTGCTGGCTCAGTGGGCCTAGAAGATGGAGCTGAAACCTACTGCTGAGAGTCCTTCACCAAGAATCCAGAGAGTAGAGCAAACACTCAGAATCTGGAGGGCCACAGTCTAGATGGTATCACAGAACAGAGGATGATTTTCAAGACTTGAGAGCTAATGTAAATTGTTCTGCTGGGTTTTGATTTGCTTGGGCCACTATTCCTTCTTTCCCTCCCATTTCTCCCATTTGTAATGGAAATTTCTACCTTGTGCCTGTTCTATTACTGTAGTTTGGAAACAGATAACTTGTATTATAGATTCATAGATGAAGAAGAATTTTGCCCCAGGATAGAATTTGGACTGGGAGTTGATTTAAGACTGTTGGGATGATATAATTGGGTGAAAGTGTTCTGTATGTGTCAAGGACATGTTTTTTGAGGGCTGAAGGATGGAATGTCATGGATTGAATTGTGTCCCCAAAAACATGTGTCAGCTTGGCTAGACCATGATTCTCAGTGCTTTGGCAGTTAAGTAACATGCAATTTGGCAGTTATATAATAATATAATTATCCTCCATGATCATGATGTGATCTGATGTGATTACCAAACAGTTGTAAGGTGGAATGCAAAACACTTACTCAGGTCATAGCCCAGATCTCATGTAACAAGGGTTTTCCTGGGAGTATGGCTTGCATCTTATAAGAGATAGAAGGAGAGAGAAGGAGGCAGAGAAGGAGGAATCTCAGTACCATCAAGAAAGAACACCTGGGACCAGAACGTATCCTTTGGACTTGGGGTCCCTGTGCTGAGAACATCCTAGACCAGGGGAAGACTGATGTCAAGACAAATGGAGATCTCCAAGGAATTCCAGGCCTACAATTGTTGAAAGGAGACAAAGACCTTCCCTCAGAGGCAACAGAGAGAAAGCCTTCTTCTAGAGTTGGTGCCCTGAATTTGAACCTCTCGCCTCCTAAACCGTGAGAGAATAAATTTCTGTTTGTTAAAGCCATTCATTTGTGGCATTTCTGTCATAGCTTCACTAGATAACCAAGTCAGACATGGATTTCTTTCTGGTAGATTGTTAGGTGTGTGCATGTCTTTCACTTTTAGTCTTTTAAAATCTAGTTAGTCTGGCTAGAAAGGAATGTGAGAAGAGATCTTAAAAGAAAAGAAATCAGATTATGACTTTTGCAAAAACCATCAAATTGGTGATGATATGAAATCTGAAAGTGGTTAAAGTGGTAAGGAACACATCATTTCTTCTTCTATGCTTTCCTATTTTCCACTCTACTTGTGTGTATTGTTTATAATGAGGATGTGCGGTTATATACTTGTGGCTTAGCACTTGAAGCTTCTTTCAAGTGGAATGGATGGGATGGAAGTGACAGGTCCTGCTAGTCTCTCCTTAACCTGGAACCTCCCCCTTCCCCATGGCTCATTCACTGAGTAGGTTAGCCTGGCCATCCGACCTTAGCTGGTTCAGCTCAGTCCGAGTGCAGTGTCTGCAAAGACTGATCTTAGAGGATCCTGGACAACTTTTCAGGGAAATGGGGTATGAAGAGAAACCAACCATTTGTTTAAAAAGTTGTATTTTCTTGGTGGCATTTTGATATAGTTACAATTACTTTAGTAAACTAAACACTTAGGGGAAAATTCTCAAGACCTCACCTGGCCTCAGTCTTAACTTCTGGAAACAGAAAGCAGGAAGGTATCTGTGGTTCTGTTGGATAAAATGCTACAGTGGAATTCAGAAGGCCCAAGATGGCATAGTGCTTAAGATATTTGACTGCTAACCAGAAGGCTGGCGGTTCAAACCCACCAGCCACTCCTCAGAAGGAAGACTGGGCAATCTACTTCCATAGAGATAGCGCCTTGGAAACCCAAGGAGGGGTCGCTATGAGTCGGAGTCAACTGGATGGCAGTGAGTGAGTGTGTGAAGATGCAGTAGTTCCACTAATAGGTATACAATATTGGGCACAGATCATGTTTCAGTCTCAATGGTAAATTAATGACTCTTTTGCTCTTTTCCCTTGTTCAATGCCTATTATCTTCAGGACAAACTTATGCAAAACTTTCCTCCTTTATGGGAAGTTATGCCTTTGTGGGGAGATAGATAATTAATAAATACGTGCGGCATCAGGGGAGAAGTGGAGGAAGAAACTGAAAGCAAGACAGGAGAATGGTAACTACTTAAGATTCAGGGAGTTCTTTTCTGAGGAGGTGCATTTGACCAGAGACCTGAAGGAAATGCAGGTGTGAGCCCCATGGCTGGGGAAGGAAATGCCCTGCATTCCACAGTCACATACTTGGCAAGTTAGAGGACAACAAAGAGTGAGTTTGGCACATGAGCAGCAAGGAGAGTGATAAGGAACAAGGTCAGAAAGGTGATCAGTGAAGAGCGCACTCAGGGCCATTTAAGACCATAACACAGACTTTGGATTTTAACCCACATGTGATAGGAAGTTATTGAATGAAGCTAGGAGAGCCAGAGGGAATATGATCTGATTTCCAATGATAATAACAGTAATGATTAACAAACACATTGTGGTCAAGTCGATTCTACCCATAGTGACCCCCTCTATAGAAGTAGATTGCCCAATCTTCCTTCTGAGGAATGGCTGGTGGGTTTGAACTGCCATCCTTTTGGTTAGCAGTCAAATGCCTTAGGCTCTATGCTACCAGTGCTCCCCTAAGTTTCCTGCTCAAATGCTTCTTCCTCTCCCCACCTAATCACCATCTCTCTGTGTCAGGTGAGCACAAGAAACGATGGCTTATCATGGACAGTCTAACAAATTATACAGTAAAATCTGTGAAAGCCGGGACCTGTGTAAGGTGGAAACCTGCCAGAGAAGAAAATCTCAAATATTTTCCACTAATAGAGAGTGATATAAAAGGCAGAACACTTGTGAGACCTGGTAAAACAAGGCCGTCTTGTTGAGTTCTGGCTCTCAGAGGTTTCACTATTTGTTCACAAAAGCAGAGAGTACTGTGAGGTTTACACAGGTGAATGAGTCCTGCTTCCTGGGTTCCAGGGGCCTTTAATGTATTTTCACTAACTTATCCACCAGCCACTCCTCGGAAGGAAGGTTGGGCAATCCTACTTCCGTAGTGATACTGCCTCGGAAACCCAAGGAGGGGTCGCTATGAGTCGG